TGTTATTTGTACAGCTATACCTCTTGCAATTTCACTTATTTTAGGCATCAGAAATATAAATAAGAACACTGACATCTGGTTTTTCTTTTTGATACTATATGGTTTTGTAAGGATATATAGCTGTTTTTTTTAACATTAATTTCTGAAAAACTTTGATGTTGGGGATTCAGACTCCCTCTAGATCTGCACCTACTTATACAACAGCAGAGTATTTTCAACATTGCTTTGCAGTTGTTCAATATAGATATCTGAAATGTTTAACAATGACTCTTACAAGTATAAGCTACAAGCAAGACAAGAAATAATTCTTCAAATTTTTACTTTTATTGTAATGGGACCTTAAATGTGAATAATAAAAAATGTAATTCCAGTTTTTCTAAATAGTGAACAGATTGTTACTTTATAATTTTTGCTACGTAATTCTAATGGGTACATGTATAATTTAATAAGTAAAATATTTGTTGACACTGTCTAAAAAAAATTTGTAATTAAAAAAAAAATAAATGCTGAATTTAAATATCACTATTGAAAAAATGAAATGTTTTTAAAGTAATTAGGTCAATTTGAAATTTTTCATAAAATCTATTTTTACAATTAAATTAGTATTTTTTGAACATGTAAAAAAATAAGAATTGCATAATTCTATTGTTTTAAAATACTGGTGTTTTCAAAAAGAGGGCCCTAGTTGTACATGTATATTTAGTAGACACAACCAGTGGGTTTACTTTTTTGCTGCGTAGGGTTCCACTCATAATTGAAGTTTAATATTTCCAATTCACAACTTGATGTGTTCTGGATTACTTTGTACTGTCTTCTGTAAAGCATGGAACATTTCTGGTAAATACTCCAATGGCTTTAATGGCTTTCCTGTAATATGTAAAGGGGAAAAGAAACCAATGTAATTACGATTTCATTATGCAGAAGAGGTTGTCATTTTTATATAACTAATTATATGCAGTTTAAAGAAATTTATATTTAGTACATGGGAACCCTAACTTTGAGAGTAACTGCATGAACTGAGCTAAGGAGGAACTATAAATGTACCCTTTGTTTACTTCATGGTAACAAACTGTGTTGCATAACCAGCCAATACCTTTCATGTGCAACGTGTTACACTACTTTCTTTCACTTGATGTGTTTTAAATACACAGTTCAAGGTCCATGTCAAAATATTAAATTAATCATATTCCCAACAAAGTTTCTCGACAGCATTCTCTGTGCTAGTAAAGTTGTGTAGGTTTTTACATATCACTGAACTAAACATCAGAAAATAATTTGAGTTTTTATACTTTATTTATTTTTAGTATACCCAGCGAAGAAAACCTGGAATAAGAATTCAGTTCGAACACCATAAATTTAGCTTTACTATATAATATTTAATTTGTATGCGTGATATATCTATCGTAAAGAAAAATACAAACAACAATGATAAATGTATAAAACAACCCATACTTCAGATAATACGGATCATATTGTTATGAAATCAAGAATACTACATATTACTGAACAATTCTCCGAGTACTAATAAATTTGGGGATTAGCAATTGTCTGTGCTGTTCAGTTTTTACTGTTACTAGTTTTATGTTTCTGTGGGTGCTATGATTGGCTTGTATGCATTCCTAAATATTATCTTGACCAATTGTTGAGAACAATTCGTAACAATGTAGGATTTTTATTTGAAAGAATTTGTTACATGCATGTCACATGAGGGTTTATAAAATTGAAAAAGACATTACTCTATATAAGCTCTGCCTTGAAACTGGACATTCTATTGGTGTAACTCAGTAATAGTTAGCTCTCAAGGGAAACCTTAATTCCTGAAAAAATGGGGGTTTATGATATATGTCTGCTTATACAGCATTAAATAATAGCTATTAATTTATGGCAGAAAATGGGCAGAAGAGGTTCAGATCTCCTTATCTTCCTAGAACTGCACAAATGGCTGGAGGATACAGACTTCCTGGAGCCTTCCCCTAGATCTGCACCTCCTAATATAAATAATAATAAAAAAATACAGTTTCCCAATTGTAAATTAGAAACATAACCAGTGTAAAATAACTGTAAATTTACCCTTGATTTAATATTTAAGTAACTAGAGAGTAGGTGGGTTCTGCCAGCCATTACCTTCCCTCTAGTCAGTAATTCAAAATTAATGATAGTTATATGCACTAACAAACAGAGTGAGCAAATTTAGTGGCAATGGGAATCCCATCCAAGACCCTCAAGTCATGAGACATTCCACTCTCCCTAATTATGTAGCTTTGTGCTTCACAATAAATGGATATAATGACAATATAATTGATCACTTGGATAGTTGGAGCATTCAGAATCCCTGATTTTGTTTAGGTGGTTATTTTCATGACAATTGATTTAATCATAATGTTGATTAAATTGGTTGTTAGAATAATTGAAAACCAGAATATTTCTAAACATTAATTTCAATTATTTGTTTATTTTTTGTGATATTAATTGACTAATTGTAATTTTGAATAATCAAATAGTTTGAGACACTAATCAACGTAATTGTTGGTTATGGATAGTTTATTTAATTAATCCAGCTATATTCATAGCCTCAGAAACTGTAAAATAATTAACTATAAAATGCACATCTACCAAATTCGAGAAGCTATGCCTTAAAGAAGACATCACACCTTTGAAATTAAAAAAAAAGATCAACTTCTAAATCTGATGTTTAAAGTAAGAAGCAAAATGCCTTGCTAAATTAAAAACTTTTCTAGAAATTTTGACATGTTCTTTTAATGTTATTTATTTATATATATAATGTGTGTGTGTTTACCTGTGGGGGTTCTGTTAGGGAAGGCATTTTAAATTCTTGTCTAGGGCAGCAAAATACCTAAAGTTGACTCTGTTCATATTAACTAAACTTTTACTCAGGGAGAAAGAAGATGACTTCCAAATCAATTAATATTAAGAAATAAGTCCCTAAAAGTAAAAATTTTTCCCTTGCTGCTAAAAAATTAAGATCTGGTTACCTAGGAATGTTGCACATTAAAATTGCTATTCCTGTTTATGTCAGTTGTTATTACCTTTCCTGATTGAAACATCCTTTAACCAATAACTAGCCTTCTGTTTGTAATAATAAAACTGTATTTTCAAAGAGTAATTAACATGAAATGCCATAAAAAAACTATTAAAACTAACTGACATTTGATAAACTTTGATATGTTACTTATAGAAATTTGAAATATATATATATATCATTTTCATGTGTAGAAAAAGGGGTATACTAAAGCTCATGAAAAGTGTGGATTGAGATGTTTACTGTAGGATCATTTGATACCATGTTTCTCAGTGAAATATATTAAAAGTAGTCAGTACAATGATGACACTTGAGATTTTCAGCAACTACATTTCTGTTTAGTTTTAAACCAAAAATTGCTATATTCATTTATGATGTTATTTTTCCTATCTAACTGTAGACTGCTATAGTAAAGAACAACCCTAAGAAGATTGTGCGTAGTGTGGGAGAAGGTGAAACTGTTGAATTTGATGTTGTTATGGGCAAAAAGGTAACATTTTCAATAAACTACAGAATGTTTTGTGCAGAGTGGTTCTTTTTTTTTATGATTATACTTGTATACACTTCATGATATGTTTGATAACTGTTAGTTTATCAAGTAAATTAATTAGAATTTGATGGAATAGCATAAAACTAATTTGCAATGGTAAAAGATAAGAATGTTTTCTAATAATATTACATTATTGTAACAAAGGTATTTTGAGAGAAAAGCATATTTTTTTTCTGTAGTAGTAATTATGTATACTGATAAAAGGTTGAAATAGTTTTCTTGCAATGGTACTGTGATAGTTGATAAGTAAGTGAGAAAACTTTTAGCATTTTAATACAGTGCTTTGTAATTTGTACATATGCCTGTACCTTATATTTTGAACAATTTTCTTATAGTCAGCATATGGTAATAAGATTGTAATAGGAAAGTTGCATTTTTTGAAGGTTTTGTTATTAATACCAAAGTTTAAAATAATGAAGAAATAGGTTTACCGGTAACAAGTTTGAAATAGTTTCTAACAGTAGTTATGTAGAAGTGAGATTTCCATCTAAAATGTATCTTGATATGCTTTCTATTAATATTAGTGTGGAATTCAATCTACATTACAGATAAAATGTGGAAATTCTTAATATTTTTAAGTGTGAAAAGGGGTCTGAAAAATGTTCGAAAAGCATGTAGAAAGGTGTTTCCGATATGGTACATTATCTCCCCTCACATAAATAGCTATTCTTGTTCAGTGCTGACCTATACATGCAAATAAATGTTTTCTCATGGCACAAAACTTGAAGCTCTCACCCATCTTTGAATCGTCTGATTCAAATGCATCTCGCATGCAAGTCATCATGCGACAACCCTCCACCGATGAGAGTGTGACATACTCTCTTGATGCATGTGACTCCATTTATTCAATTCTACTAAACTATCACTTCTCGTTTGGCAGTACTCGTGTTGGAACATTTAGTTTGTGCTATCTCCAGTGTTTTTTGGTTTTTTTTCCATATCTTTAATTTCTCTCAACAAGTTTACTCTTTATTGTACAATAGTGATATTTGTAACTTGTTGAGTTATTCCAAAGTGGAATTATTATATATTTCTACCTAGTTACGGAACTTATTACTTCATTACAAAAAAGTTTTTTCTTTCTGCTAACACAGTTTTGTTTGGTTATTCATTTTGCATTATGAATTCTATGTTACCACTTTGGAGGTTATTTTCTATCAGCACATTCACACAGGATTTGAGTAGAGGTACTCCGCAGGAAGATTTTCGGCTTTACTTCGTCAGGAGATTATTTGTCCAATGAGCTAACCTTCATCGGGTCTTGCCTCGAGTTTTGGGGCCCACACATTTTGTCATATAGTCCGCCAACTTTGTAAAGATAAGATGTTATACTGTTATGATTTTTGAATAATTTTATTTTTAATATTGTTATCTGTAGTTATTTGGGTTCCATAAATATAAGTTTCATTAGATTGGTCAATACTCATATTCAAGTTCAGGTTAGCAATTAGTCTTGGTTGAATCTTTTCTTCTATACCATTCTCTTAGGCTAACCATGGCCTCTGTTATTTTAGAATTACCTGTAATTCATTTTACTGATATATTAATCATTAACTATATTGCTTTTCTTCCTTGCATCACATCTCGTACATATGTAATTGTTACTACACACTTAATTTTATACAATAATGTATATTTCACTTTCGCTATTATTTATCTTTTATCCTTCTTCTTATTCACTTGGTTTATGCAGAACCCTTGAGCTAGGGTCAACACAAACTTCTCCCATTATTGTACATACTTATTGTTAGGTTAAGAGTTTTGTTTTAGTGCTTAGTGATATCCTTTTTCTGTACTGTTCAATTAGGTTCAACAAGTGTCTGTTATTTTTGGTTTACCTGTGGTTCTATTTATGGGTTAAACAATAATTAGGTTAAATATCCAGTTCCTGTCCCAAACCTTCCCCTTTCTATCCCACCCTCCTGTGGTGCCATTGTTTGACGATTTACTCTATGATGTACGATCTCCCGACAGCAGTACCAGTGACTACGTGGTCAGTTTGGGCCCAGTGGGGCTCATCTCCTAAATTTCATTCCTCAGTGGGGACCTTGTCTCGACGATGTCTGGATTCACAGTGTGAATTTTCCCTTTTCTCTCCCTTCCTCTCTTATTCAGTGTTCCTGTTACCTTACCTTCCCTTCTCCTCAGGATCCCTCGACACACCAGCATCTGTCATAGGCAGTTCAGGACATCAATGCAAAACAGGCTATCAAACCAGCTCCACCAGGTTCACAGGGTTTACTCCTGCCTGGTTCTGGTTCCCAAGAAGACAGGGTATTGGTGTCCTGTCATCAATTTATGCTGTCTCAATCAGTATGTTCACACTCCTTGCTTTATTTTTGGAGACATACCTTTCTCTGTGGTGGACATTTTCTCCAGGTCTTTGGATGAAGAAGGTGGATGTTTCCAATGCTTACCTAAACATTCCTGTGGCACAGCATTTGTGCCCATATCTTCGAATTGTCCATCAGGGGGTTGCGTACCAGTTTTGTGTCTTACCTTTTGGCCAAGCCTCAGCACCATATATGTTTTATCATGAAGTTTACTCCTTTGCTCAGCATATTTGTTCCATGGGGTTGCGCTTCCACATTTATATGGACGACTGGCTTCTTTTTGCTCATTCTGAATGGAAATTAGCCTTTCACACTCATCACCTCCTGGCCAAAGCTGTGTGGGTGAGCTGGTTGGTCAAATTGTAAGTCTTTCCTTCATCACACCCAATACATTATCCATTTAGGTGTTTTCTTCAACATCCATCTCAGTTGGGCCCAACCTTCTCCTTCTGGCTCCATTCTATGGAATGGGCTGTTTGGAAAGCCCTGTCTGTTCCCTCACTTGCATCTTATGAGGTTCTATCGCTTTTAAAGATGTGGTCCTCCATGATCCCTTTTATACCCCTGGGCAAGGCCCATATGCAGTTTCTTCAATGGATCCTTCACAATCAGTGGAACTTCGCCCAGGATCCCTTGGATAGTTTTATATCCCTTCCCTTATCCCTTGTAGATGATCTCCATGGGTGTTGACAAGGGCCCACATGTTGGAGTGGGTCCCACTTCCTCTTCTGGGGCCAGATTTACATCTGTTCACAGATGCATCCCTTCAGGGCTGGGGGTGCCTAGGTGGATCACCAGGAGGTTTTGGGTTGTTGGTCAGTGGAGGAAAGTTCTCTTCACATCAGTGTTCTCAAACTCCTGGCTGTTCATTGGGCCTTAGATCATTTTCTTGCTCTTCCCAGTTGCTGACTGGTTATGATCCATTCTGACAATTCTACTGTGGTGGCTGATATCAATCACCAAGGTGGCACTAGGTCCAGATCCCTGTGTTTTTGCACTATAGATATTCTTTATTGGACCCATGAACATCAAATTCGTTTTATGATGTGTCATGTACTGGGTGCTTTCAACCTTGTAGCTGATCCTCTTTCCTGACCAGATCACGTTTATCCCATAGAGTGGTCCCTGCATCATGCCATTTTTCGTGGCTCTTTCTGCATCTGGGTATGCCCCATATCAATTCCTTTGCCACCACCCTCAATTACAAATTACCTCGGTTTTGGTATTTTTGAGCCTTGGCTGTCCATGCCTTCAGCCAGGATTGACCTCATCTGTTCCTTTATGTTTACCCTCCCATCCATTCACATCATTGGGTGGTTTCCCTCATCCATACCACTCCATGCACAGTCCTTCTGATTGCTCCTTACTGGCCCATTCAACTGTAGATGATCACTCCCCTTCCATTCTGACCTGCTTCATCAACTACAGTCACTGGTGCTCCATCACGTGCCATCCATCTTCTATCTTCACACCTGGCTGTGGAGTAGCTTCACATTTAGCCCATTCCATTCACCCTGCTTCTTTGGCTGTAACAACACAAGTGGATCATTTATTGCTCCTGGGCATTGACTCAGGGTTCCTGGGCTTCTCACCCAATGGTTGCCTGTATCCCCAACTTTCTCACGTGGCTCTTTGAGAGGGGTTCTTCGGTCTCCCCATTTCTGCAGGGTCTTTGCTTCCTCTGTTCTTTCCATGTTGATCTGTTCCTTCTAGCTCAGTCGGCCATCAAGTCGTCTGGGACATTAATGTGGTCTTTTATGCCCTCACTTTTCTTCTGTTCGAACCTCTCTCCATGTGTTCCCTGTTTCACTTCTCTTTGAAGGCATATTTTTTCCTCCTCCTGGCCTGCAGGTTTCGTAGGTCGAATATTTTCACCCTTGATGTTACTCGGACCTTGTACCATTCCTCCTATTTTTCCCTTTATTCAGATCAGGCTTTCCTTTCTAAGTTCTCTGCAGCTTGAGCAGGTCAGTCCTCCTTTTCCCCTATCTGCCTATCCTCTATATCTCATCTCTACCTTTGTCCTGATCTGGATGGACTCCTATCTCCTGTCCATACCCTCCGTTCTTATATTGCTCACATGGCTTCCTTCCAGAGTCCTCATTTCCACCTTTTTATTCCTTGGCAACCTCTTCCCATGACCTTTCCCCAGTTACCCTGATCAGTTGGGTTCGACATTTGATCCAGTTGGCCTATTACTCCTTCTCTCCTTCCCAGCATGATCTCTTTTATGTTTCCTCAAATCAAATCTATTACCTTGCCTCTCGTCTTCTTTGGCCATTGGAGGAGATTCTACAATTGGACATGTGTATGACTTTGCACACATTCATCTCCTACTACCTTTACCACATCTTTCTCGGGGTAACTCCTGCTGCCTGTGGCTATTCTACAGACTTTGGCATGGCTGTGACATGAGGCAAGTCCTTACTAATGTTTTTTTTCAGGGGCCCCTACTTCAGCTTCACTTTAGATCCTGTTCTGTGGCGGGTGGTGCCTGACTAGGTATTCTGTCTCTACTTGGAATATGTTCCACTTAGATCTTCCGGTTTTTGTGTTATATGCCAAACTTCGAAGTGATAGTTTGGTAGTGGTGCCTAGAGGGAGTCGCATGCATCATGTGATAGTAGTGCTTTCCTTTTGGTGGAGAGGTGATGCATGAGGGACATGTTTGAACTTTGGATTCCAACAAAGGGATGATGAAGGCTTGTGGCATGCAGTTCTGAAAAAGTTTGCATACAAAGGGCAGCACAAAATGAGAAAAGCTTGTGAGTAGAGGGAAGTACCTACTGGAAATACATCTTCATTTAGGAAAATTATAATTTTCATGGTCACCCATTGCACTGTTTTGGGTGTTGTCGTTCCTCCACAATCTTCACTGCACTCTCTCCCCCCTTTTCTTGTAGTGGATTTTGAATGTCCTTACCACATTCCAGTTCCAACTTACTGGGATGGTGGACCATGGAAGCACATCCTCATGAATGTATTAATGAAATCAAGTGATATATATATATATATATATATATATATATATATATAGTATATATAACTAACTATACTAGTAGTAGAAGTAGGTATTGTTGTTCGTGTGTGGTAGTAGATGTATAGATATACTCCTCCTAGTAGTACGTAACTAGTAGGGTA